TCAATTATTCAGTAACCAGTGTTTGTTTACTTTAGGAAACCCTCAGTACATTTAAAAAGGAAAATAGGACAGTTCCTATTTCTCAGGGTTGAATTCAGACCTTTCAAAAGAGAAAGGCAAATAAGCCCCTCCCCCACTGGAGATTCCTAAGACCTAGAACTGGGTCACTGACCTGTGGCAACAGGATTGCCATTCAAGCCAAGGTGGGACTCCCAAAGCCATGTTCTTCTACCCGGCTGCTCATGGCCTAGGGAAGAGTATGGTTGTCATTCCTAAGATGCTGACCTGGGCTCCTGAGAGAGGACCAGAGTCCAGATGCACAGTAACAACCACCCCCATGCTCCACTTGCCTAGGACATTGATGACCACTGGGCTCTCCTGTTATGAAGCCCCATACCACCTGTGTTAGCAGTCGCCTGGGAAATTTGTTAGACAACCTTCAGTGCAGCCTCAATCAGACTAGTCTTTCAACAGGAGATATGACTTATGAACCCCAGGAAAGACATCAGTGCAGACAAATGTAAGCATCTACCAAAATCACCAGGAGTAGTCTCCTCACCCACCATGCGGGGACACACATGCAGGGAAACCTGAGGTCCACACAGCTCAGGGCAGGAAGATTCAGGCACTGCCCCAGGACTCACCAGAGAGCCTGCCCAGAAAGGCAGCTTAGCCAGCCCTGGGACTGTAGGCAGTAACATCGTCTTCTACTTGAACACCCCTGGAGTTACTATGGTCTTCATACTCTCACCCAACTAGAACGGATATCCAGCAGAGAAGGGTGGGTAGCCCGGCTCTAGTGAGCAGTGCACCATGCTGCTGTGTGACACCCTGAGGGCCCATGTGACAAGCACAGACTTAGCAGCAAAGCCTGAGCCCAGAAGTCATTAATCTGTCACTAATGAGTTCCTATGAGCATCTAGGACTTCATGAGGAAGTTCACAAAGGAGAAAGGTCATCTCATAGCCACTAAGGTCCAAGACTCTCTAGTTGGCTTCTTAGGAGAAGAACCTCATTTGCAACATCAGATTTTTCAGTGTCACCAGCCGTGAGGTGTCAGGCCATCATCTCCTATGTCAGTTGCTTCTCAGTGCTATGACAAAATGTCTGAACAGCCCTACTTCAGGGAGGAAGGGGTTATTTGGGCTTGCGGTTTGGGAGTTATAGTCCACAGCCATCTGGCTCCATTGCTTTTAAGCCTGTGCTAAGACAGAAACTTCACAGCAGAAGTGCATAGCCAAGGAAAGCTGCTCTCTTTGTGGCATCCAAGAAGCAAAGGGACAGGGAGGTACCTGGAACAAAGTATGTCAGGGCACACCCCCAAGCTTGCACCATCCATCTCTCAGCGGTATGGCCAAGTTATGAAGCCATCAAGAAGTTAATCCATGGTAAAGTCAGCGCCCTCAGGATCCAGTCACTCCCACTTTGAATCAAGCTGTGTGACTAATCAAGCCTCCAACACATGAGCTGGGGCCAGGGATTCAAACTCAAAGCATCATACTTTCTGTGTGTGTTGCTGTCTTCCTTGCACCTGCCTGAGGACCTCCACGAAGGGGAGGGGAGCATGGCAGGAGCTAAGCTAGATCGGGATTTGAGGTAGGAGCACCCAACGGTGTGTATGTGAGGGAGAAGAGGAATCCAGAGAAACTTTCACAGCAGTTCACTTGGGGCACCCCAGTGGGCTGGACAGAGAGCCCAAGTCACTGGAGCCGCTCTTGAAGGGCATCTAAATGAAAGCTTAGAGGCTGATGCTTTGATAAATTAGACCTCTCAGCATTAATTATTACAAATAAAAAATATTGACTAAAAAACTATTGAAGATGTTGTGTCCTACACAGCACCAAGTACTCAGTCAGAACTTCACTTTTATATAAAATAAATAATGACACCTATTCCATTAATATGCACATGATTTATTATCAGTAAATATTTAATTTTTATACCTATTCTATGTACTCATATGCTTGGGGATGTATAAACCTTTCTTAGTTCAAAAAGGCTTATGAGTGGGAAGATTAAGAATACCTGTTCTGGTGGATGCCTAAAGCTTGAGATGAATTGCCCAACTTTATATTGTTTTTTCTCTTTCTTTCTTTCTTTCTTTCTTTCTTTCTTTCTTTCTTTCTTTCTTTAACAAGTCAAGGACTTTCAGCTTGGAAACACTTATAAAAATTTTAAATGAAAATTAAGAACTTCTCTTTGGCATAGCCAAGTTGTCGGCATCACTGTGTATGCAACGTGGGCTCATCCTTAAGTAAAATAAGAGCTACTTGAATGCAGCTCCGTGTGCTGCAGCACTGGGCGTAACAACAGAGAGGGCTCTGTGTAACAACGAGCTGGAGTGTATACAGGGTGGATACACTGGAAAGGGGGGGTCCATCCTGGGAAGGACGGGACAGAAAGGGTGGCCACTCGTTCCACTTCTCAGTGGTACACACAGCACAGGTAACTCAGTGAGCTCAGAAGGCTTCCTCTGGCTTGCAGGTCCACCTCATGTCTCTTGACAGGCTCATGGAGCCTCCAAATCTCTGTGAAATAGAAAAGAAAATCACTGATCAAATTGGCCTGGTCAACATGCAGCTTTCCAGGCATCTGGGCACGGGAAGAGGAGGAGACTCTCCTGCCCATCACACAGCCGGCCGTGCCGACAATGGCTCCATGCTGGTTCTCCAGGTACATTGGCCTTTACCAAACTCCTCTTCCTCTTGTCAAGACTTCCTGGAGTCAACTCTCAGCAAAGCCTTCAGTTGTCAACCAGAGAGTTTGTAAGAGGGTTGGGCATCCTAGCACCCCAGTCAGGGTGACCTGGCAATGCCTCAGGTGGTCAAGATGGAAATTCCCTGCCCTCTGCTCCCCTTCCCTCCCCTCCCCTCCCCTTTCTGCTCCCCCTCCCCTCTCCTCCTCTCCTTTCCCTTCTCTCCCCTCCTCTCCCCTCTCCTCCCTTCCCTTTTCCTTCCTTGTGGTTCTCTTTCTGGTTCTGCTTCTGCTTACTAGCTAGATGCCTCTGTCCAAGTCTCCATATGGTCAGAAGGGTGGCAGTGGTGTGAGGCCACGATCTTTATGACTTTAATGAAAGAGCAACCTAACAGGCAAATGTGTGTGTGTGCGTGTGTGTGTGTGTGTGTGTGTGTGTTGTGACGTGGGGGGGGTATGTGCTGTGTATATGTGGTCTGTGTGCCTGTAGTGTGGTGAAGTATGGTGTGTGTGTGTGTCTGTTTGTCTGTGTGTCTGTGTGGTATGTGTATAGTATATATATGTATATATGTGGTATGAGGTGTGTGTACTGTGTGTGCTATGTGTGTGTGGTATAAGGTATATGGTGTGTGTTTGTGTGTGTGGTATGGTGTATGGTATATGTATGTATGTGGTGTGTGTGCTGTATGTGTGATATGTGTGTATGGTATATGGTATGTGGGGGGGTGTGCGTGAGATGTGTGTGATATGCATATGTGTGTAGTATGTTTGGTGTGGTGTGTATGTGTGTGTGTGTGTGTATGTGTGTGTGTGTGTCTAGGATCATCTATAAAGCACCTAAAATCATGACTATTGGCTAGCAGCAAGCAATCAGCGCCTCTTGCATTGCTCCTCCCCTCCCCTATTCCTTCCCAAGTCCTTGTTCAGGCAGCTAATCTCCAAAGCATTAGCACATGTACCGCCCTTCTCCAGCTAAGACGTTTCTTCCAGTTCACACCCTCAGCCAACAAGCTCCCAGGATCTCTCTCAGATAATCACAGCGCCTCCAGTTTAGCTCAGAGTCCCATGCAGCTCTGGATGCCCTCTCTGTTCCCTTGGCCTAGTGATGCAGAAAACAGAGATGAGATATGACCAGAGTCCTAGCCTTTCAGAGCTGGGATCTGCCCTGCATGCACTAGTGCACCTAAAGCTCATGGCCAAGTGTGTGGAGCATCACGTAGAGAGTTGGGAATGGTCATCTCTATGGCCTAAGGCTCAAAGGGATGAGAAGACAGAAGAGAATAAAGGCTCTCAGATTGGTTCAATCAAGTTTAAACCTTCTTCCTGCTGTATGACAGAATCGTGTTAACACCCGCATACAGCAACCTACCTATAAAGTAAGGGTAATGGTGGCCAGTTAAGGGCAGTGGGGCACCTGAGGACTGACTGCCTTCTTGTGGATGCCCAGTAAACACTATCTTCATTCCCACGGAGTCAATTGACAAGGCTATTGGGAGGACTGACCAGAACAAGCTTCCAACATGATTAACACAAGCACAACACTCATCAGGCACTGGCAACTATCCCAGCTCAGGAGCTCATGCAGCCTGGGCTTCTCTGGTTCAAAGTTAGATGGAAGACTACGTTAGGGCACAGCATAAGGTTATCACAAGGACTGCAGACAGGATTACACCAGCAGTTCCTGAAGAGGTCTTTCATCATGAGGCTCCTCTGCCCAGTTTCGCCAAGACTTCATGGCTGTTCATTTGCGTAACCAGTTTCAACACTCAGCCTGTTGACTCCAGGAATTTCAACCTGTTTGTATGCTGCTTGCTTCCCGATGGATGGCTTCAGCTGTGAGTAATCAATGGCCTCATCAGTAGCCCACATGCTTCAGTTCAGTCACTCTGCCAGTTGGACTACAGTCTTGCCTTTGAGCTGTCATGATGACAGTGTAAGTAATCTCTGTCAGATTCACACAGCATTTTGATCCTCACAGCTTCCCTGTGAGGCTGAATTTCAGAGATTGTCCCAGCATGGTAAACATCAACAGATGTTGGGTATCCACCGGGGGCCTTCTGATCTAGTGTTGTTTAGGATGGAGAAGGGGCTGTCTTGATGTGTAGTGTGCGTAGAAAGGGTTTTGCAGTGGCTGGAAGGTAAGGGCTGTGCCAGAGAATGTCAGACTTCCTGTCATCTCATTCAAGAATTTGCTCAATGAATGGCAGAAGATGTGAACCACAAAAGGGGCCTGACTGCTCAAGGGCACAGGGTGATGTCTTAGTTACTGTTCTATTGCTGTGAAGAGACACCATGACCATGACAACTCTTATAAAGGAAAGCATTTAATTGTGGGCTTGTTCACAGTTTTAGAGAGGGAGTCCACGATCATCATTGTGGGAAGCAGACAGGCATGGTGCTGGAGCAGTAGCTGAGAGCTTTACATCCTTTACATCCTGATCTGCAGGCAGAGAGAGCAGAACTGAGACTGCCATGAGCTATTCAACCCTCAAAGCCCATTGCCAGTGACACACCTCCTCCTCCAACAAGGCCACACTCCTGATCTTTCCCAATAGTTTTACTAACTGGAGACTAAGCTTCAAACATACTATGGGGGCTACTGTCATTCAAACCAGTAAAGGAAGACAGACAGTAAAGGAAGAGTGGGGAGTGGAACTGTGGTCCCTAAGTGCCATTAGATTCTCCCACTTCCACTAACTTCTCAGAATGTTTTATTTGCTATATATTCTTTTAGCTAAAAATGTATGTGTCTGAGTGTTTTGCCTAGATATATGTCTGTATGCCACGTATGTGCCTGGTCCCATGAAGAACAGGAGAGGGCACAGATCCCCTGGAACTAGAGTTCCATATGGTTGTGAGCTGCCACGTGAGTGTTAGAAGTTGATTCCAAATCCTCTAAAAATAGCAGTCAGTGCTGTTAACTGCTGAGCTATCTCTCCAGCTCCCCTGTCTAGTATATTTTTAATAAGGTTTAAGATACCAACATCCAGGTCTAGAAGCAGAACAGGATTCTAGAGTGCCCCTGTGCAGGGAGGTTCCTTGTAGACACTTACACTGGGATAACTGGTGTCATTTCTAAAATCTTAAACTGAGACTTTCCATGTTCATATAAATGACATCACATGGATTCCTACTTGTGCTTTTTAGGGCTTGACCTTATGTCTAAGAGATTAGTCCATTCTTTGCACATAGTATATAATACGTACCTCTTGCCTTCCTCACTGATTTCACTGTGAATCTCATACAATATATTTATCCAATTGACTGTGAATTCAGGTAATTCCCAGTCTGGGCTATTAAAAAAACAAGACCAAACAAACAAACAAAAAACATGCTATGAACACTCTTGTTTGTGTCCTTGGACATCATAAAGTATCAAAAGTATTTTGACCATTAAGAACTCATACTAAATTCACCCCTATCTGCATGTAGAATTCTACTCAAGCTCCATTTTCAGATAAGGAAAACCAAGGTCATGAAGGCAAGTGACTTGCCCAGGCCTTACAGACTGGTAAGGCAAAGCCAGATAGGCAGCTTGGTCCTTTGATGCCTTCAATGTCCTTTGATATTTGCACTCTCTCTCTAGTTCCAGTCCTGCCTAAAGTCAGAGGCTGTTTCCTAGCTTGAGCCTCAAAGCTCTCCTTTACTTGCACCCTGACTGGCTTCACCCCAATCCTTCTGGTTTCTGTGACAGTCTTTTGGTACAAGAATTAAGCCAGCATGGTTGATACAAGGCCATGAGTGTGTGTGAATGCTGTGTCCTCAGAGGGTGATTGAGGATGAACTAATAGAATAAAACCCCCCACAACTCCTGAGGCAGCAGGGCTGGAGAAGAGAAGGTGAAGCAGAGGGAATTACAGCTTTCTCCTCCAACTTCCTTTCAACAAGGTGCCTGTCTTTGTGAAAACAGATCCAGCTACTTGAGCGATCCCCCGGAGCAGGTATTTTCCTGAGGGAAGAGCATTTCACTGAGAGCTGTCCCTGATTCGAGTATGGTGGAGAAGAACAGACTGGTGTAAGCTGTGTGGTTCCATCCCTAAGGAAGAATGAGAGAGAGAACAGGGTGAGGCTGGAAGAGCTTAATGATGCTAATAGCAGTTGCTGTCTGTCAGGCGCCATTTATGGGCTGACATTATTGTAAAGGTCACATTCAAATCACCACCTCATAGGTGAAGAAATCAAGGCCCAATAAGTGCTGATTCATTAACACTCACAGTGGGGAGGAGTGTGACAGATCTCTCCATGGAAAGAGGTTTTTTCCACCAAGCCTGACCACAGACACTGATTGTCCTGTCTTCCACACACCTCCACACAACACACACGTACCCCCCCACACACAACATATTCCAAAATAAATAAATATAAATTTTAAGAGATCCCAGCAGGGCTAGAAATGATAGTCATGAGCAACCCAATAGATGCCCAAAGTCAATGAAAGTGAGAATTCTCTTTTTTGTTGGTTTCTTCTCCACCTCTACCTCCAAAACCTGAAGACTTGATTTCTTTTCTCTTTTCTCTTGGAAATTTTTAATTCTTTTATTGTTAAGCATGAGTTTCATTATAGCCTATTCATCCACATATATAATGTATTGTGATCAAATTCACGCTCTATTACCCTCTCTTGTCCCCTCCCCTCCCACTCCCGCTGATCCCCTTCCTGACTACTTCTATAGACTTTCATGTCTTGCTTTGGTTTGGTTCTGGTGTCCTGGTAAGTTTAATCAAGGTTACTTACAGAAACACCGGGGAGAGATTGTCTGCTGGAGCATGAGGCGACTTACCTAGACCACTGAAGAAAATGGCCCTACCCTCCCGGACACCAGCAATTATTAATACCTATAGCTCCTCAGGGAGGAGTGGGACCTACAAGCTCCTCAGCCTTTCAAGACAGAATGCCGACAGGCTTAATCATTGATTCATTGGATTGGTTGGTTGAGACAGGATTTCAATATGCAGCCATGGATGACCTGGAATTCATTATCGAGACCAGGGCAGCCTCCAACTCAGAGATCTGCCTGCACATGCCTCTGGGGTATGAGGGGCAAGGGCATGGGACGCCACACCCACACAGACAGAGTCAATCCTGTGTATGGTTTGTTGAAAGGTCAACACTGTAACGTGTCCGACTTTCACGGCACTTTATCTCCTTCTTCGGACTTTATAGTCTTTCTGTGCCTTCATCTTTGATGTTCCCTGAGCCCCAGAGGGATGACACAGATGCTTCTGTTAGGGCTGCACACTACCCAGCTGCTTATTCCCAGCACTTAGGTGAGTTGTGAGTCTGTATTAACAGTCGCTAATCAAACCAGACAGCAGCACTAATCTTTGGGCATCAACGGAAATGCCCAGAAGGCAACTTGACAAACATCGCTTGTCCGGTTAGCAAAACAACAGCAGTGGCCTCCACGCTCTTCCCCATCCACAGGCTTTTGAGCCTGTGAATTCCCTTCTGGTGGAATGGGCTTCAAATTCCTAACTCCCCTAAACAGTCTTGTCACCCCGCACCAGTGGACACCCCTTGCCTGGTAGATTGGTAGTTTAGAAAGTAAGGCCCACAACTGATTAAGATTATTTTAATGACCCTCCCCCAACTTTCCCCTCCCCCGCAGCAGCCTACATGGCATATGCAGGGGTCTCTGGTGTTTAGCCAGAAACAGAAGTAGCTCACCCCTGGCACTGGGATTTTCATTTAATTATCTTATGGCTTCCAGGAGCAGCTTTATCTACACGCGTACCTGCACAGTACCTCCATTCTCACTGAACCTAGAACTCATCAATTCGACAAGGCTGGCCAGCGGATGAGTTCTAGGAATCCTCCTGTCTCTGCTTCCCCAACCCCCACACTGGAGTCGCAGTTGTATACTGCCATGAGCTTTGATGTGGGTTCTGGGGATCCAAAGTCACATCCTCCTATCTGTGCAGAAGGCTCTTCATTGACTAAGCCCTCTATTTAAATGTTGTTTTTAATTAACTACAAATGCTTATCTACTCTAATGGGGCTATGCTGGCCTTAGACTACTTCCCAGTCACTGTGGCAGGTTACTTTGCAAGTTTTTTACACAAATTTAGTGTGATGCTCCCCCGCTCGGTCCCCCCTCCCCCGGCAATTCTCCCTCTTCTTTACCACTGTGCCCCACACCCGGCATAAGCCTTTCTAGACACACCTCTGACCCGATTTCCCCTCCCCCCCATCGATTTCAGCTCTCACAAACCCTGTCATCTCCCTCAAAGCTTCCTTCCCCCTCTCATGGGCCCCGCAGAAGATTTCTTTGATGTGAGACTTCTCAGGCTTCATACTAATAACTCACAGTAATTTCTAAGGAGAAAATTATTCCTACAAGCTTTATCTAGCTCTTTAGTCCTTACTTCCCCCAAGGCATATTTATTAATGTCTTGATTTTTAAAAACTAGACAAAAATGTTTCTTTCATCTTGCTTATACATTTATACAAAAAATATAATTTTCTAAGCCAAAAATCTATGATGATTAATGATAACAAACCCAAGGGGCTTGTCAGATGGCTCGGGAGTTAGAGGCACATGCTGCCAAGTCTGAAGACCTGAGTTTATTAAATTCCAAGTCCCTATATGGTGGAAGGTTAACTAGTTCCTGTCAAGTTGTCCCTGACCTCCATATACATACTACATACATGCATGCATACATGCATGCATACATACATACAAACATACATACAAACATACAAACATACAAACATACATACAGACTATATAAGTACATATATGCACACACATACTTACAAAGTAAATCAATGTAATTTTTAAAAATAAAATAGATGGATGGGTAGACAGACAAGACAGACAGACAGACGGACGGACGGACGGACGGACGGACGGACGGACGGACGGATGGACGGACGGAAAGAGAGACAGACAGATTATTGAAACAGTAAAACCTGAAAGGCCCATGATGATCACAGAGTCACCCTGACTGAAAGCATCTTTCAGCCTTCACTGATGAAACTCCTTATCAGTAGGTAAAGATAGAGTGCACCAGATTGTGTTTTCCAAAGATGACTGCAGAGATCTCTCCTGGTCCATATTCCTCTCTACAGTGCAGTTCATAGTCCCATCAGAACGTGGAGATGACTTCTTTTCCCCTTAAATCTCAGTATTCTTGTGTCTTTTACTAATGAGGGACAGCAGAATGACTCTGTGGCTTCTGGAACTGAGCCCCTCTGAGTCATGCAGCTTCTGGCTTGCCCTCAGAATGCATCTTTGTTCTACCATGTAATGTGCTTTGCCCTGTGGGATACATTAAGCAGGAAACCTGATTAACCTGATGCCGCCACGCTGTGCAGAAGCCCAAACCACATGGAGAGGCCCTGCCCACATCAAGTCAAAGCAGCCTAACAGGAGAGATTTGGATGGAGGAGTCTCATTGTGATTATACTACCTGCCAAAACCTCCCTCACCTTAGAGCCCACACAACTGTGTCATATGGCAAGATGAGACATCTCCTATGTTCTTCTCTGTTTAAATTTCTATCTTTGAACTTAATAGGAAAGGTTGTTTTAAGCCGGTATACCTTGGGACGGTTGTTACACAGAGATAGTAACAGAAGAGGGAGGGGGAAGGTGATGTGAGCGGGAGTGAGCACATTTAAAGGGAGGGTTCGAGTTGGTACCAATATCTCTTTTATATCGATTGATAGTTGACAGGTGACTCATTCATTCAACACTATGTAGGAAAAGTAGTTACTTGAAGGACTGAAGAGACAAAGGACAGGTGAGGCACCACCTCCATGGAGCCCTGGTCAGGTAAGATAGGCAATCCCTAAACTCTCTGTGTATAGAGGAAATGACCTGGAACCCTTTATATCACTGCTTAGATTATAGGCATGTGTCCCCATATCGGAGAGCAAACCTAGAGACTTCATGTATGCTAGGTGAGCATTCTGCTGACTGAGCTACATCCACAAATGGAGCCTGCATCCTATGTGGATACTTAGTCTAATGCTGGCTTTGTGCACTAGAAATACTGTATTGAACAGGAAGAAGCAGGTGGAGGAAGGGGGAAAATCCCTGACAGCAACCAGGAGTTAACATTTGGGGTGTTTGAAGCCACAGAGACAGTAACTCAAATGGGTTGAAGCCAGAAACGTTTTTCCAACCAGCTGTGAATTTGAAAAGCCCATATGTGGCACAACAGTAAGCTGCTATTTCGGAAATTCTTTCATCTTGTTGGGAAGTATCTGCGGAGTCCTTCCTTCCTCTTGGAAGGCAGCCAGTTTTCCAAAGAAATCACTTCATCAGCAGGAGCTGAGGAGTTCCATATGTAACTGAGTAATTCTGAAAACAAAGCTGGGCACCTACAATATCGCTCTCTTCCCCTTTAGAGGGTGAGTCTCTGCCTGCATACCAATGCGATCCAGCATAACTGATTTTCTCAAAAGTGTGAGGATCCCATTTTTTAGTTACTGAGGTTTTTATTTAGCATGGTCCCCATGCCACTAGCAATCACTCTTAGTGTTCTTGAGGCTGGTCAGTTCAACTTACGTTGTTTATTAAAGATTTCTGCCAGACAGTGTTGGAGACAACAATGAACGATACAGTAGCGTTCCTCCTGCACTTAGCCCACAATCCAGCTACACGTTAGAGAAAAGTGGATGCTGGACAAAAGTTGTTTACATGTGGTAGACATAAAAGGGATGAGGAAGGAGGCCCCTGGTGTCTTTTCTAAGCAGACAGGCATGGGAGAAAGGAATAGAGAAATATTAGAGAAAGAAGTGACCACACCCAATCACTAGAGAGATCCGGATGAGGAACTGGCAGAAGACCAGAGTGACTGTCAAGAACAAGAAAGAGGACAGCAGCTGATGAGGAGGAGCAACCAGGCTGGACCTGAACAGTCCTCAAACACAGGAGGGATCTGGGATGTTCTCTGAAAAGCAGTGGGGTGCCACAGGTGCATTTAACACAGTGAGGATCTGGGGCGTCCTCTGAGAGGCAGTAGGGTGCCATGGTTCTGTTTTAAGAAGAGAAGCCATATACTCACATTATAGTTTGTAAACAACATTCTGGGTACAGAATAAATATGAACTGGAAAAGGTCAAGAATGTCATCTTGGAGACAGACAGACACCAGAGTCCAAGCAACTCTCATGCTGGTCTGTTCTAGTGCAGTGGAAGAAGTGCACTAGAAGAGAGGGTATGATTGGCTTTTGCTTAACAAAACATTCTAGCAAGTCTTCTCATGGCCACAGGATGTCCCAGGGCATGTTGCTGAGACAGAGATGATACTCTAAACCAGTGGTTCTCAACCTGTGGGTGGAGACCTCCACAAGGGTCACTATCAGAGATTTACATTATGACTTATAACAGCAGCAAAACTATGGTTATGAAGTATCAATGAAATAATTTTATAGTTGGGCATCACCACAACATAGGAACTGTATTAAAGGATCACAGCATTAGGAAGGTTGAGAACCACTGCTTAGGAACCCTGGCCTAACACTGTAAAGAGACACTGGCATTCCTGAGGGTCATCGCAGGAGAGGGCACAGAAGAGGCACTAGTATGGGTGGCACTGTTGCAAGGGAACATGGAGAGGGCAGAGAGAGATGGAGAGGGGACCAGCAAGATTGGGAGCAGTGTCCAGCAAGATGGGCAGGGGCTAGAATTCCAGAATTCCTGGGAAAGCAAGAGCCAGTGAGAAGTTTCAGATGCTAGGCAGAGGGAAGGGGTGTTTAAGAACTCAAATGTGCTTTTGTGCTACATGCTGAACGGCTTAATGAGTTCTCTGACAAGAGCCATGTAGGAAAGGCTATTACAGGCAGGTAAGTTTTCTGGAGATGGCCCATCATTTTGCAAGGCTGCAATGAGTGCACTCTGAGAGGCACAGACCCAGAGACTTCATGCCAGGATTGCTTCTCACTGCTGCTATGCCTTTCCTGCCATTATTACAGAGCCTAATGAATCCTGGGCATCAGCCCACACTATTGGGCAAATTTCCTGCAGATCAATATGAAGATGAACTTTAATGTAATAATGCTGTTTAGAGAAATTGATGGTTTCATAATTCCTGGTAATGATTTTATAGAACTCCTGAATTCATTCAAGTAATTTTAAGCCCCCTGTAGAATAAAAAGCTGTATCATGAGCTAATTAGGAACTAGGGAAAGAAAATAGGCTTGGAACAAATTTATGATCAAAAAAATATTCCTTCTAGATTAGGAATGAGACTGATAATCTTGGTCATACAGTTCATAAACTGGGGATGAACAACTTACAAGTGCAAGGACAGAACCAGGCAGTGGTGGTGCACACTTTTAATCCCAGCACTTGGGAGGCAGAGGAAGGCAGGTTTATGAGTTCCAGGCCAGCCTGGTCTACAGAGTGAGTTCCAGGACAGCCAGGGCAACACAGAGAAACTTGTCTCAAAAAACCAAATAAATAAATAAATTGTCAGGAGCAGCCCTGCTTATACACTGAAGGCCTAAAATCAGCAATAGGCCTGACATACATGCATGCTAACACAAAGCCTTGGGTCTCTGTGGAAAAATACTGAAACAGATAACTAGAAGCTATTGTAAACAAGCAGCTTTGGTGGAAGGCTGCCAAGTTTTAGTCATAGACCTTGTAAATAGGTAGCCTTGGTGAATAGTAGCAACTTAGATAAGGACAAGTGAACCATAGGTGGAGTCATAGTGGTCTGTCCCCTGAACCTTCACCCAGCTGACACTCTGTTCTGGAAGATATCTGTACTCCCCCTGAACACCCATGCTCCTGTGTCATCCCCTTCCCCACATCCTGCCTTTTTGTGTATATAACCTGTATGTAAAAAAGTAAAAAGTACGGTTTGACCAGTCTATAGACAAGCCGTGTTCCTTGTGTTCGCCCGTTTTTCCTCATTCTCTCTTAGGTGATCTCCCCGGGCCCCTGTTTAATGCCCTGCTGGATGGGACAATAAATAAATAAACAAACAAATAAATAAATAAGTGCAAGGACAGAAAATAGATGATTGACTAGTTTATCTATACAAGACTTCAAAATAAACAGACACAAGGCAGATGATTTGTCTCTTGTCAAGACCTTGCTAACTTGTGACATAAAAACTATTGCTTTAAGTTTATAATGAACTTATGGAGCTAGGAAATAAAGAATGTTTAATCAGGTACTGGTCTTAATGGAAAGACGTGTAAACAATTTTGCTGTAACTCCGTAAACCTTATCAGCCTATGACATGAACAGTTGCTTCAACTTACCATCAACTTATGGATGTCTATGTGTCTGTATGTGTGCCTGATTTTCTTTCTTCTTTCCTTCCTTCCTTTCTCTCTCTCCTTCTCTCTCTTTTCCTTTCTCTCTGGCTCATGAAGAGTTAGTGAACTCCTAACCTCTCATGGGCCAGCCAGCCATTGACCCCTGAGTTAAAAAGTCAAGAGCCCAAGTAACTAAATTTCTTTTTCTTATGCCCTACTGCTATCAGCAAGAGTCAACTGCCAGGAGCCATCAGCTTTGGGCCTCAGAATAGCAAGAAAGAATTAAATAGCCAGAAATCATGAACTCAGTACCTGAATGTTGAGGCAGGGCCTTGACAGTTCTCCTCCCACGCCACCCCTGTTCCTACACAACACCCCATCATGCATGCACACATGTCTAAAGTGCTGTGTGCAAATACAGCATACAAGAATGAAGTAGGACACGATCCATCACGGTACAAAAGGAGAAAAGTAGCTTTCAGAAGCAAGGGTTGGAACTTTGAAAAGGCAGGAACTAGCCTAAGAGGTGAGAATGTCTAGAGAAGGAGTCAGGACACTGGGACTTCCCACAGTACGTGGGCAGGGGTTTGAGGTCTCTATAGATAGAGACAAGTCATGGTATCTGAGAGCAAACAGACAAGGTACATCCACATAGCTGATACCTAGCTTACATAGTTTGTCCTGGGGCACCATGGTTTTTTGAAGGAAGCCATCACTGTGTGTAAGCACTGGGAAACACGTCTATTAAGCATCAGGTATTAGCTAAAGAAGACCTAGGAGAACTCAGGACAGGGATGAGTCAGTAGATCTGTAGGAATTACTTAGATCATGGACAGTCTGTGTCTCAGAGTGGAAACATCCCAAGTTGTCAAGGAAGATGAGGAACGGGGATGAAAAGATGTGTCTCAGGTAACAAGCGTAACGGAGAGCTAACAAAATACTTCAGGAACTGCAAAGAGCAAGCAGAGATGTGCTATGATTAAACAAAAAGACACTGATTATTTGTTTTTTAGATATAGCAGAATATGACTAAATTACTCATCACACAGAAAAACCTGATTTGCAGAAAGCAGTTGGTATCAGGGCAGAAGAAGAAGGAAGTCTTAGAGTTGGAGAAATATGTGGTAGGGTGAGAAGGGATTAGTTACCTGTCTCCTCTGGCTGAGAAGATGCGGTATAAAGTGTGATACTGCATAAATAAAACTACATATATACATTAAGAGGACACACAGTAGTCCAGAAAACCTGGCCCAGAAAACTGGAATTCGTTCAACCTGGTAAATCTACTGGATTTCAAAGATATAGCAAAGACTTTTGGGGAAGCCAGTTAGGGGAAAAGATCAAGTCACTTATATGAGGAAAAAAAAACCTGGGGTCAAAGGTAACTTTAATGCCAGATGACAATATGGTAACACACTTAAAACCAATATTAAGAAACAAGATTGAAAAGTAGGGAGAGTAATATTAGCTAAAATTATCTTGGGAAAGAAAGTGGGGCGTTTACAAAAGAAAAAGAAGACATTGCTTTTTATTGTTACTCATGTAAGGAAATTAAAAGATACTCTATAAACAAATGGAAGTCTGTTATAGATCTCTTCTCAACAAAAAGAATTTAGTCAAATGGCATGAACGGTTTAAGCTGAAGTATATTTAACCAAGCTAAGCAAAGCAAACACTCCAAAGAGAGCTCCAGGTACACTGACCCATGACAGGGGCCCTACTAGATTCTGCACTGTGATCTTCAAGGTTTTATGAGTATTTGTGGCATGGGTGGCATGTTCGTGGACTAAGGTGACTTTTTTTCCTCTCTCAAATTCCCAAATCATGGTGGGTTAGATCATCTTTCAAAAATTTTTCCTTCCCATGATCCCTACAAAAGGGAGATGATGTCAAACCTCAGTGCAAGCGTTATTATAATGATGTTGGGTCTTTTGTGGGATGCAGACCCTTCCTTAGTGCACACATGGGAGAGAATAGCCTCATGTTAGAGTTTCTGATCTAGCAGGAACAGCCCAACCGAGACTTCGAGGATGGTTAATGTCCAAAGGGCAGCCCGACAAGCAGGAGACACAAGTGCGGTTTTCCTCAGTCACCCTACATCTTATCCACCCGACACCAGATCAAGCACATTAAACTAAGTTACAGTAAAAAAGGTAAATAATATGTAAAATGTAAGGTATTATAAATGTAAAGAAATGCACAAAATCCCCAGTTAACTAACAGTGACTGATCCAGGAACAATCTTTGGTGGCTGAATATTTTTGGAGAAATTTTAGAAATGGTGCTATCAAGTTGGCAATATCTGAACCCACTGATTCATCAGAGAAGTCAGGACAAGGAGACACATGTGCCTCCTGACGTAACTCAGCACTACTTTTAAAGCATTTTTTTTTTTAAGTATCAAGATTCTGGATCTAATGGACCATTTACCAGGAAATATAGTGGATAGAGAAAAACTCAACCCCATGGAGAGCAATCATGAAAATCGAGGAGGCAGAAAAAGGTCTAGGATAAATGATTCATAGAATAGATCAGAGTTTAAGGAAACAAACATAGATTAAAAGCAAATTACGTAAAATATAAAATAAACACTTTGTGAACTTTGGATTCTGATTTGAAAAGCAACTGTAAAGAGTAATTGAGCTTCCTGGTGCTGATGACCTCTTGGCGAGAGTATGTGTGTCAAAGGATGCTTCCCTTCTCGAGAAGACAGGGAACACAGGCAGCAGGGGGCCAAAGCCCCAGTTCCCACCTCGCTGGTGACAATGCCAGGATGCTGTGCCATCACTACCGTCTTCACTCACCTGCAAATCCTCGCTCTGTGATGACGCCACCATTCTCTGCTGGACTGCAGGAGGAAAGTGAAGCTTCCAGGATGCTCAATACTGAAGCATCCTGAATTACAAAGTAAAAAAAAAAAAAAAAGAGGGGGGGAATTTGAATGGGAACAGGATATAGTGACATTTATGAAGTATTAATTATGTACATTTGATAATAGCATTGCCTAGAGGTGGGTTTTTAATTTTCATTTCAATGTTTAAGTTCCCTTCAGCTACGAGTATAAACTGTAAAGCATTTATGGGCATATAAAAATATGCTGTCTGGGATCTGACTTTAAAATGCTCAAGAAATGCACACAAACACACATGCATGCGAGTGCGTGCACAAATACACACACAAACAAGAACACACACATGCACACATCCTACACCCAATCACTTCCCAGGAGTATTCTACCAACCGGCTCATTTAATAGAACAACTGTTACAATCATTAAGTGCCCCAGAGTGATTACCAGCAAGCTTCTAAGATAAGGATTGCCCTTACTTTGCATTTGACTACTGAGTCACAGAGACCTGAAGGCTCTTTCCCAAGATCACACAACTAAACACAACTAAAAATGCTAGGGAGAAACTGGAATCGAAACTGTGCCTTTCTAGAGCACCATAGATGGTCCTTGAACACAGCCTGCAGGGATGTTCACAGGGCCTATCTGAGCCATTATGCAGGCCTTCCATAAACAAATAAGCAAACAGATAAATCTATGAACAGAGAGTGATGAGTTCTTTCTAGTTTCACCCTCAGCAGATCGGCTTCCTAAATCTCACCTTGTTTGAACCAGGCTGGATGCTGAGCTATGCACTCCAAGACTCCCACTGACTACATCCGAGCAATCACCACTGGCTCTGCTTTACGGCTTGGGAACATTTCAACTATTAAATCTGCCTGAGAGGAAATGAAGTGACGTTGGCCGGGTTCCTTCTTATCTTGGTTTCATCTAACAAAGCAAGCCAGTAGTCAATGGAAACCTAAAGGGAAAAGCCGCTCACGTCGCACACCCGCACACCGGATGTGGAAGTCAGAGGACCGCCTACCCAGAGTCACGTGGAGTGCTGTTGCTCGAGCCGATTAAAAAGGCTGCGAGTCAGGATAACAGCATCCGCCAGGTACGCTGATTCTTCAATCAGCTGCGTTCACCAGAAGAACAAGATGCCTGTGGACATGGGTAGGACTTTTGTTTCTTATAACCATAGTCTTCCAACTCATTCCAAGGATAACATTTTTATCACAATTAAAACAGAAATATAAGTCATAATGGCCCTTACTGAGAATGTTACTCAAATCCCTCCCCAATGCTATGAGGCAAGACACTACAGTACTTTGAGAGGAGTCTGGGAAAATTAAAACCTACAGGATGAGCACTTCATAGATACAGATGAACTTGAACTCCTGATCCTCCTGCCCCCGCCTCCCAAGACTCCAGATTTTGCACCACCATATCGGACTATGATAACGAATTTAAAAAAACATGCCAGGTATGGTGGTGCATGCCTTTAATCCTAGCACCCAGAGGCAGAGGCGGGGGATCTCTGTGAGTCTGAGGACAGCCAGGACTACACAGAGAAACACTGTCATGGAAAAACAGAGAACAAAAAAGTCAAGAAATGTGTAAAGAAAGAAAACATATTAAAAATGTATTAATACAAGCTTTAGAAACTAAATCTAAGTTAAAAGGAAATACTGGATAGGAAGCGAATTAAAAAATGTTAGCAGTTATGTATAAACTTTAGGTACATTCTGAGAGCTAACAACTGTCAACCCCATTTCTATCCTTCCCCCATCTCTTTTTAGAAAGAAGAAAACTGTATCTAAGAAAAAGACTACTGTGGGCTGTTTCAGAATAAAATCCAGAGGGGAGAGAGAGAGACCATGCACTACATACAAAAATTCCCATTTCCCCCCAGAGCACATTGAGTCCCTGTTGAGTATGTCTCCAGGAGGAATGATGGAATACTCTGACTCCACACAGCAAGCTTAACCTTCAGGCCTTCCACCGAGCCTTCCTGGGGCTTAAAATATAAACATATAAAGTTTCTACTTCTATTTCCTAAGAAGTACACTTCATGCTTCTACTTTGTGTGTTTGTTTTTATGGACAAACCTCAATCTGCCCCTAAAGTAAAAATAACTAACTAAAAAATATCTGTGACCACTTTGTGTGTGGTGTGTGTGTGTGTGTGTGTGTGTGTGTATTTAAGCTTTGTGCACACTATTGTTGGCATATCCCCAACTTTAAGATGTGTGTGTGTAAACATTTTAGAAACATTTTTATTGCTATTTATTCTTTTGAAAAAATTTTTCAAAGTTATTATCTTAGCCAAGTCCAAGATACAACAACTCTAAAACTTTTAAATTAACACAGATGGTCATTTTAAAACTTGTTTAACCAACTTAAAAGCAGATGAAGTCATCTCAGATGATCCTAATGTGCTCCACTATATTATTCATATAATTTTTATTGTGTATTAATTTATAAGTGTATTGAGGATAGCAACTTGTCTCTGCATCCTCTGGTCTAAAGCAGAATAAAATCAAAATAAAATTGGTAAAATACTTGCTAAATAATTGATGTCCTCACTACAAACATAAACTGATGACTCAAAAGTAAAGTAAATGACAGTGACAGACTTCAATCCTGCTCTTAGTATCCTTGAAAACCTAAATGAAAATAGCTATTCTTCAGGAGGAAGTGTGAGAGAGCTGGGAGTGAGAAGGGCAATCCATGGGGGCATCTCTGGAATTAGCTGGAGACCTGGGATGGGGGAGATTCCAGGGAGTCTATGGGGGTGACCCAAGCTGAGACCCCTACCAGTGGGGGTTATGGAGACTGAACCTCCAGTGAGGCAGGACTTCCAGTGGAGGGAGGGGGACATCAACCCACCCACAAAACCTTTAACCCCAAATTTGTCCTGCCTAGAAGATACACAGGGAGAAAGATGGAGCAGAGATTGAGGCAACAGCCAACCAATGACTGGCCCAACCTGAGACCCATCCCATAAGAGAGAGCCAACCCCTGCCACTATTTAATGATACTCTGCCATGCTTACAGACAGGGATCTAGCATGACTGTCTTCTGAGAGGCTTCATCCAGCAGCTGATAAAAACCAGTGCAGAGACCCACTGCCAAACATCAGGTGGAACTTGGGGAGTCTTGTGGAAGACGGGGGGAAGGATTAAGGGAGTCTGAGGGGTCAAGGTCACCACAAGAAAACCTACAGAGGCAACTAACCTGGGACGGTGGGGCCTCCCAGAGACTGAACCACCAACCACAGAGCATGCAGGAGCTGAACATTGGCCCCCTACATACACATTTATAACATATGGGCAGCTTGCTCTTCATGTGGGTCCCCTAACAATTGGAGCAGAGGCTGTCTCTGACTCTGTTGCCTGCCACTGGATCTCCTTGCCCTAGCTAGACTGCCTGGTTGGGCCTCAGTGGGAAAGGATACACCTGGACCTACTGTGACTAGATGTCCCAGGGTGGGGTGGTACCCAAGGGGGCTTCCCCTCCTCCTCAGAGAAGGGAAGGGAAAATGGGAGAGGAATTTGTAAGGATGGGAATGGGAAGAGAGGAGGGACAGGGTGAGGAAGCACAATCGGACATAAAGTGAATACATTAAATAATTAATCAAAATCATTATAAAGAAGATTAAAATCAGATAAGAAAAGTACATGTAAAGGTTATAGTTATAAAATGTATTTTTGATACAGAAGGCTAAAGAAAAAAGGAAATGGTTTTTGATGAGATAGTATTTTGTACAGATTTTGTCCTGAGGTAAAGGTTTATTCCAAAAACAGAAGATTAGGTATGTTGTAAAAAGAGGTCGTGAAAAGTTAAAGATAACATGGATATACCTAAACTGGCTGAAATTAAAGGTTATTAAACCGCTTAAGGTCAAAATTCAATGCTCTTAGATACAAATGATGCTTGAGTCTTTGCTTAAAACAAATAAGGTTTTCTCGAATGTTGACCTGTCCTTGGTAGTGTTTACAAAAGACTGGCTTAGAAAACAAGGATTTTATTTTATTCTTTTACTAAATAAACAATTTAAAATCTGACTAGATTTTTTTATGTAAATCATCAATTTATTTTGACAGTTTTTCAAACTGAAAAATATAGAATTAAACAAAAGTATTAAGGACCACAGGATATAATATCCTTGTGAAGTCTCAACTCAGACATTGATAGAAACAACATATTATAACAGTAATCATAACAAAATGTCCCATTTATTACTAATTGATGTAATTTGAGTCAACTTTCAGAAAGTATAGATTTTTTTAATTTTTTTTTTTATTTTTTTTATAATTTATTTTTTCAAATCGTAATTCATTCACACAGGGGTTATAAACACAGAAAGGCAGGATGTGGGGAAGGGAATGACACTGGAGTGTGGGTGATCAGGAGGAATACAGATATCATCAGAACCGGGTATAGGCTGGGTGAAGGTTCAGGGGACAAGTCACTATGACTCTGCCTATGACTCGCTTATCCTTATCTAAGTTGGTATTGTCTGCCAAGGCTACCTATTTACAAGGTCTATGACTACTCAGGCTTGTAAATTTCCACAAAAGCTGCCTGTTTACATTAGCTTATAGCCATCTGTTTCAATGTTTTTCCACTGAGACCCAAGACTTGGTGTTAGTATACATGTATGACAGGCCTATTGCTGATTTTAGGCCTATGGCTGATTTTAGGCCTTCAGTGGGTAAGCAGGGCTGCCCCTGACATCTCCTCCCTTCTCTTAAGTACAGAAGGGCTGTGGCAATTCTAATCTTGCAAAGGCGGGGATAGAGGCCTGACCTCCAGTATTTGAAGGGGACCTTGTAATGGCTCCAGAACCCCTGTCGTTGTCCAGTGAGGCATGAGGGCCATACCCATCCTGATGTCTTTTTCCTGGAGAGGGGATACTTTTGACATCAACCCCTATGCAGTCGGGCTTGTCCCTCAGGGAACCCAGAAAGATATTTTTATCTTTTATTTATATTCCCTTGCAGTGCTTAGCCTCACAGCCTAAGCAAGAATTCAGATCGCCTGATAGATGGGGTTCTGGGTGGCCCCTCTCTGCTTGGTCTAGGGGCAGAAGTCCCTCCTCTTAGGTTGGGTGGAGATGGGTTTTGGAAACACCCTGTATAAAGCAACAACCTCATCTTGAGTCTCGTGGTCCTCCATAGCTAACTAATGATAATGTATCTGAGTAGGTTTTGCTACCAAATTATTTATCTGTTGTATCACAGAGTTAGTTCGCCTATTTGAGGGCCAGGGACCAGCAGAAAAAAGCAAAAAGAACCCAAATAATGGTCCCAAGATGGGAGGAAATAGGGTTGACAACCTTGGAGAGGCTGAAAACCAATTCTTGTACTGGCATTCATCTGTCTCTTTCTCTCTCTGATTTTTCTTAGGGCCTTCACTACCTATTTCATGCTCTCTCTAACCCTCCTTGTCTTGTCTATGTAAAGGCAACCTTCTTCTTTAAGAGCTGTACACAGTCCAGAGCTGTACATAGCCTTTCTATTGTAATAGAGTAAATCAAGTCCAATAAGGATCTTTGCGATTTTTGGAGGTCTCTTCAGACAGCGAAACGAGGGATTTCTTCAGATTAGTGATGTCAATCTTTAGCTGTTTGATGTTCTTGTCAGTGGCCCTTCAAAGGTCTGAGTAGTATAAGTTCAGAGGCCAGCATCTGGATTAGAACTTCCAATAGCAGACATCATGGGTGATTCATTTTTACCTGGAAAGGAAAAAGAAGGGGATTCCCAGGGAGATTTCTCTTCCCTGGATGTAAATTGTTATCGTATTTATGGTTGGGCCTGGCTTTGTGAGGGTATCTATTTTTTTTTATTAATCTTTTTGGTAGCCAGTTAGCTGTGCCTTCTGTGGTATCAGACAGGCATATCAATCCTCGGCCCCATAAGGGAACTGGGTCTGGGCCATTCCTTTTAAGGGTAAGAGGGTCCTTCCCCATATCTGTGGCAAAGTTTTGTTGATCTCGGTGGTGCCAGAGGCAGCTGTGACTAGATTTTATCCAAGCACTTGTCTGTATGTTTTCTGACTGGGTGAAACATTCACTTGCGGGATAACCTTCACCTCAGCAGCAGAAAGCAAAAAACAAAAATAAACCAAAAAAAAAAAAAAGCCAACTAAAAATCTATCCCAAGGAATTTTTTTCTGCTTGCCACGTTTGCTCTTTTACATACAATTGTACAAACCGCTTTAACGGACCAATAATCAATTTGGATTATGATGTGAATACTTAGTTGTAGCTATGGCCTCCAGTCCTCTGGATTGATGGTTAAGCAACTGACACTAATTCTTTTCAAAACTGACTAAAGCTTTCAGCTTCCACAGCCTAAGACACTCTGTAGTCCCCTACGTCACTCCTCTTGAAAAACCGCATCAGCTGCTCCTAAAATAAGTGCTGTGCAGCCAATAAAAGTTAAGCAAAAACCTAGATGCACCACCTAGATGGGTCTCTATTAAAAGGAGACATAGATTATTAAAAGAGGCTTACTTCTAAATATAACAAAAAAAGTCAAAATTCTTTGTAGTTTTTCTATAACGAGATCCTGGAAAGAAATCAAAAGAATGTTCCTTGGGTTAACTCTCCCCGTCCAAATTATACAAAAGATGATATTCTCTGGTAAAAACACGTGCGGTGGTATGCAACTTAAGATCCCGTGTTTCTTGATTAAATATATGTTTCAGGTACAATACAGTTAGCTGGTATTTAAATTTTCTAAATATCCATATTTTGACAATAAAAAAATAAACTGACAATATTGCAAAACGAGTTCTCATTCTGATTACAAAATAAAAATGATAAGATTTTATTTTGACTGTGAACATTGGCACTTGCCTTTGATCCCAGCACTTGGAAGGCAGAGGCAGGCAGATCTCTGTGAGTTCGAAGCCAGCCTGGTCTACATAGGGAAATCCAGGACGGCCACAGCTATGTAGAGATACCTTGTGTCAAAAATGGAAAGATTTAGTTATGGCCACAAAACCTACAAATCTTAATTTTTATCAGGCTTGGTCTCTTGCTTCTACCTTTTACTAATAACATT